TTAGTTGAATGAAATATCAGCTATATATAGATTATGTCCTCACACTAAATAGTTCAAAGTTTTGCGACTGTTGGACGCATCTATTCAATTGAGCTTGAGATAAAGAATACAACAGATACAGTCAGCCTCATATCTTGGCTTACATCTAAAAGTTAACAATGAGGGTCGGTAACATTTTCTACATAAGGAAATGCCTGTACCAATTTAGGAATATAACAAATGTTTTCCATTCGTTTTTATGCGTTTGAGTTTTTGATTTTGCCATTTTGTAAAGGACTTTTCATTTTGAATTTCACTTGGAGTTCGGTATTTTTGTTATTTTACTTTTTACGAACAAAACTTTACGACAAAAGAGATATTAATTACAGCTTCGCAGTTGATACAATATTCCAGAGATTGCATTTACTATCATGATTTCCTTTGTAGAGGGTTGCAGCTTACAATGATGTTTTTGAATTAAAGATGCCAAATGGTGACGTTGAAATCATCCCTTCAAAAATTTTACGAACTCTACTACGAGTTCGGTAACCGTTATGAAATATCTGATTCACAGATGACGACAAATATGTTCCAATTGTCGTAACCACAGTCCCATCCTCTTTTCGTCGAGTGTAAACAACAGAACTAGACTTATTATCAGAGTTCAAATACATGAGCATAACGAAGGGTGCCGCTAGTAAAGCAGGATCTGTTTACCATTCCGATGATCTTCCCGACTTTTAATGGGGTTCGAGTTGATCATTCTGTAGTTTTCTATGTTGTTGTGTTATGTTTACTGTTGTTTGTCTTTTCGTCGTTTTTCGTTATTAGTCTTGACATTGGCAGTTTATTTTCGACTTATGAGTTTGAATTTTCCTTTGGTATCCTTTGCCTCTCTCTTATTCCAAAATTAAATAGGCATTTTGCAGGTTTTATTTTACCAATTTAGTACATTGAATATATAAAGAATGATTATTTTTAAGTAAAAAAAAATTACAAAATTTATAAGTGGAAAATGCAATATTTTCATATAAGACCTCCTTTTATTAATGAATAAAAACACAATCATTCCCAGACACAGGCTCATACCTGTATATAAATATGACTTTGAAATAATTGCTATATCTTTTGTTTCACTTGACCATCTTGTTGCTTAATACACATGATGATAAGAACAAAAATTGGAATTGATTTGATTTTAATGAAACATCTTTATAGTTGATCTGATTTTTGATTTTAAATATATTTTATTCATTAAGATATGAAAGGATTGAGCAACAGGCACATCCTATAAAAGCTCTCTCCATATTACATGTACAAGGTATAAATCAAATATTAACAATTCTGTTTTAAAAAGATATAATAAAGTGAAACATGCATGCTACTTATTAGCACACACAAGCACATATATGTTTACGGTGTTAATTACTAAATGTTAAGTAAATTTAAGTATATAGGCAACTACTCATCATTAATTCAAGTACTTTGATGCATGTAAATATTCTTTAAAAGTCATTAGAAATATACATATATGGTTTGGAAGAGACACTAAGCTTGCTTAGTGGAATAAGTGAATTAATGCGGAAGTGGAGAAGAAAAACCAATAACACTAAATAAAACAAAAATTAAGAAAATTTCAAACAAAACGTAAAGTGTCACTGATATATTTCTGAACAGATTTAAAAATAGCAATGCTAATATCATATGCAAATAATCTATTTCAAAAAAGTAATACTTCAATATTTATATCAACATTATCAACAATGGAGTAAATGGAATCAAGTAGGATCTGTCTTACATCATTGTACTTGGGGCTAATAAAAAAGAAATGTTGGCTATCCTCAACATGGTGATTACGGTTTGCACAAAAAGTGTTCTCTGATAAGAACTGATTAAACAAATGTGATTTTAGGTTGCTAGCATTATTTCTGAGTTGACAATGACTTATATTAAGTTTCCTTATCCTATAGTTGAAAGGTTTAAATATTTCATCAGTCCTATAAAACTTGTCCAGTCCACTTCTAAATATACACAAACTTGGGGATTTTTGTAAAATCAGAGGAAAACTATTCCAAAGTCTTATAGTGGAAGGAAAGAAACTATTAAAATAAGAGCTAGTTCTAACAAGAGGCGGGTGAGAAGTGTTATTTTCATTCTTCAAAGTATAAGGGCTTTGTCTAGGAAGACATGGCTGGACTAACTCATATAAGTATGCAGGTGTCATCCAATTTAATATTTCATAGAATAGTATAAGCTTATTTTTATTTCGTCTATTCTCCAAAGTTTCTAATCCTAATTCAATATAAAGATTTTGTCTTGAGGAATTACGCCTTAGTCCTGTAATAATTCTAGAAGCTTCTATTTGAATATTTTATAGAAGCTCAGACTCGTGCTGGATGCAATTGCCCCAAACAACATCACCATACTCTAATATAGGTCTAATAAAAGCATACTAAATACGTATAAGTGAACTTATATCTAATAAATGTTTAACTTGACGAAGCACAGATAGACGAGATCATGCTTTTTATAAATAATATCAATATGTGTGTTCCATGAAGCTGATAACTGAAATGTTATCCCAAGATGACAGTAAATATTTATTTTCTCAACCTCTTCGCCATTTATCCCAAAAATTACAATTGGATGCTCCGTTTCCCTTCTAGTGAATTAAATGTTTTTAGTTTTCTTTGTGAATTATTTGTACAGCCCATGATTTTGCCCAATTTGAGATAACATTTAAGTCATCAAAGAAGCAGCTGCTACAGCATGGTCATCATCTACTATAACAAATAAGGAGGTGTCATCTGCAAAAAGTGTAATACAATTAACAACGTCATTTACTATATCATTTATATAAATATGAAACAGAAAGGGTCCCAAAACTGATCCCTGGGGGACACCTGCATGTATACTTTAAGAGTTGATGAAAAGCCTTCTAAAACTACCTTTTGTTGACGATCTGAAAGATAATTTTATATCCAAGATAAGAGCTGATCATTTAAGCCATATTGTTTAAGTTTAAATAAAAGTCCTTTATGCCAAACTTTACCAAAAGCTCTAGATACATCACAAAATACAAATCTTACATCCTTCCCACTGTCCATATTACTGATATGCGCCACCATTTACCAGGAGGAATATCTTTATAGTTTTACCTAACGTAATAATTAAATACTAAGCTGAAGTTGAAAATAGCCAATTTGAAAATGTCTCTAAAATAGATCCTAATGTCATGAAACTTGTTTATTTATCTAATAATATAACGAACTATAAATGTCCTGTAAAGTTTTATTAAATTTGGCGATCTCCAAACCTTTGAATAATAGGCTGGAGACCTGAGTCGTCATCCTCTGGTGCTTTTACGCATACACATATAGTCAATGGTGTAAACAGTGCCAACTTTGTTCATACATCTTGTATTAAATACCCTATTATAATTATAAAATAGTCCATTTTTGCATTAGAATAATTGTCCTGGTAAATTTTCTCATAAATTTTAATGAAATTAGACCCCAAAAGCGTACTCTACATGTGTACACTAAAACAAACTTTTTGAGGAGGCAATGTCATATTCATATTTTATTTGCATGCATTCTCCTGACGAAATGAAAGACAAAATTAATTGCGGTCACGGGTCAGTTTACATACAACTCACCTGTACAGAGATTACAGATCCCATCTCATGGCAAATAGCTAACACCTGTAGTGTTTCTAGATATCTGTCAGCTTTTTCCGAAAAACTCATATAATAGCAACTAAAAAATGGACGATCTTGGCTTGTTTTTGTTTTACAGCAGATTGTCAGATAAGTTATCAACTGTGTAGAACGAAACCGATTCTTTGTTCAAAAATCCATTTAAAAGTCTGTCAGTTTTTGGATTTTAATATTCATTTATACGTATTTATCTTAAACTTTGTAATGCTGAACTAGTATTTGTCTCGACTGCGACGAAAGTCAGCGGTTCATAGGGATAACAATCCGGCTTCGGCATCATAGGCGTTACCTATGTGTATAAAGCTTTATATTTCAGGAGGTAGAAGATATGGATGCTTCGTACCTTGTACACAGATACCTTAAGCTGAAATGTTTCCGTCTGTGATAGGTACATTGTCCTTGACCTCAATTTCATGTCTCAGGGACTACTTGATCAACAATTATAGTTCTTTTGTCATGATTCATTGGTCAATGGTAATATTTGGTGGTTTTATCTGTTTTGCAGGTACTATTAGCGATAGGATCATTATATTTGGTGTTGATAATGATTTTAAGGTTTATATGTCTGTCTTGCTTGGCAAAACTTTTAGTAATTTTTGGTCCTCAATGCTCTTCAACTGAAATTACCGCAAGGAAAACGTACTCTATTTAGCCTTTTTAACTTTTTTATATTCGAGCATCATTGATGAGTCTTTTGTAGACGAAACGCACGTCTGGCTCAAATACAAAATTTCAATCCTGGTATCTATGATGAGTTTATTTGGTTCATCTGACCTGAGACCCTATTTCCATAGAACATTGATAATGTTAAGATTATGTGATACATCGTAGTAAATCATTCATATTACAGACTTTCAACATGAATTTAATGATACATGTAAGTGAAACATGCTAAACAATTCGACGTGTGCACTTGATATACGAAATGTTCTATTTCACATTATTTTAATAACAGAGATAGATGAAAACAACTTGAATTATTGTATTAAGAATTTAAATGCAAAGGTTCTATATACAAGTTCATCATTTTAGGTTTTTTTTTACATGTTAAATGACTCGAGAAGACTTATTTCAACTGATGATTACAAAAATACTGGCTCATTAGCTCAGACGAATGTTGTCATGTAGGTTCAAACAATTTGGAGTTTTTATGGACTTTAATGTAGAACGAATTGATTTTACCTTTATTTAATTTGCACGATAAAATAAGAACATCAGTCATATCAACAGGGAATAACAGAGGACATGATGTATACAACAACAAGGAAATCACTTACCAAATAAAAAATATGAGTGCACTTACCTTGCCCTTGCCGGATAGATATTAACAGAGAAAGAGGAAAACAAAATACTGATGGCCTCATCTCTAATGCAGAACTAAAATATACAATTTAAAAAAGTATAGTTTCAAAGTAAAAACTAGGTTATCATTTATGATATATACATATATTGTGTCAATATTTCAAGGTCTTTAATTGGGGTATCAATGGTTGAGTACTGTAAGTAGTCGAACTAACCTGTCTACAGTGAGGTTGTGAGGTGAGCTCGACTCCAATCTTAACTGTAAATGCTTATATTGTGTCCAACTGAATTTATGTCTGGCGTTGACATTTTTGTGGGGTTTTTTCTTGAGCGTCGTTAAAATAATATGATCAAGCACTTACACTAGTGCGTAGGTTTTGGAATTTTCAGCTTTTCAATTTCGTATATAACTGACAATCATTTGTTAAAAACATGATTTCAAAAATTTGCAGGTCATGGTCTTGTACTATTTGTCCTTTCATCATTTGTCAGATATGTTGCCAGTTTAATGAAATGTTCGTACAGGTCAGGTGAAAAGTATTAAACATGATTTCTTTTTCACTTTTTCGATCTACAATGTTCACTGTGTATACATAATATTACCCTGGCACAAATTTTGTTTAGGTTAAATGACGTGTGTCGCCTGTTATTATGTGTTTTTTGATTGAAAAGGGACGGTGGTCACTGATATTATATTATTGTAGTAAGGGAAAATATATGATTTTTAATGTATAAGTGGAAATAATATAATAATTTTCATTTTGAATGTTATATGTTCTTAACCGTATTAGGATTAACAAACGTCAAATTTTCTTTTGTAGATGATACATATGTTTCCATTGTACAAAATAAAAGCCTACTACTGTTGCTAAAAGAGGGTGACAACAACAGACGTTTCCTTGCAGTTATTGTTCTACTGATAGGTTATGTTCTCTATAGTATTTGTATAGTCTGGACAAATACTGTTTTGATATGTAGCTATCATGACTATCTTAATAGAATAATCTAAAAAAAAACGACAATTGATATTTTTATAACATGCAAAACAGTGTGCTCATATATAATACTTCAATATTATTTGCTCAACATTAAGTGTTAACTATTCCTTATATGTTCAGATGAAAAACAAATCACATTCAAAAGTCTGTTCTGCAAAGTGGATAAACCGGAATGCTGGGCAGGACAATTTCCTTTAAAATTTGCAACCTGTTTTGGGTTAAACGACTGCAAACATCATTTCCCTTCGGTCTTAATGACAATATAAATGGACAGGGGAACATATCTTTCATTTCCTCTATCAATATCATTAAAATTGTTGATAAAAGACAGCGTACTTAATAGTTATATTGGCAAACGTATAAATTAATATCAGAATTAAACATTGAATAAATTATACACATGTGACTCCTTGTCGATATTTAAAGACAATGGAAGGCATCAACTATAATGCAAACTTGGTCAAATACCAATTAGTAACTTACAAGATATTTTTAAAGAGTGTAACACAATTACGTTTTTCAACCAACTCTATAAATGTAGGTGTTTAAACTTGAAAGTCACAAACGGCATTTTCTGAAAAAAATAAATGAGTTTAGGCATTAATTTCATCTACTAATCTAAAAATAACTAGTTTTATTTTAATTAACTAGTACAGTGGACTGTCATTCTTCGAGGGGTTCATCAATTCAGTAATGAGTGGTTCGGTACTTGATTCCTAGATTTAAGTCAAGGCGCTCGACAAAGAATAAAATGGTAAACAGTCATAACATTAGCACATCTCAGCTTAATGCCTACTCTGTGCATTTCATGATCACATATATGTGTTGATGACCTTAACCTCACTAACACACAGTTGAAAATCGTTCTATATTGGCCTTTAGTAAGTGTTCGACAGCTAATCACTCAGTGATTTTAACTAGTTCCATAACTTTTAATAAGAAACTATCATAAACCTTTGTAATAAAGCATATGAAAATAATCCTTGGATGTTTTAGATTGTTTTTTTTTAATTCTGGTGAATATTTTGACTGATACACATTCCAAAAAATCCTATCAAACAAATGTTTTCGTATTCTAGTAAAATTGAGAATGGAAATGGGGAATGTGTCAAAGAGATAACAACCCGACCTTAGAGCAGACAACAGCCGAAGGCCACCAATGGGTCTTCAATGCAGCGAGAAACTCCCGCACCCGGAGGCGTCTTTCAGCTGGCCCCTAAACAAATATGTATACTAGTTCAGTGATAATGGACGTCATACTAAACTCCACATTATACACAAGAAACTAAAATTAAAAATGATACAAGACAAACAAAGGCCAGAGGCTCCTGAGTTGGGACAGGCGCAAAAATGCGGCGGGGTTAAACATGTTTTTTGAGATCTCAACCCTCCCCTATACTTCTAGCCAATGTAGAAAAAACAAACGCACAACAGTACGCACAGTGAAACTCAGTTTAAGAGAAGTCCGAGTCCGATGTCAGAATAGGAAACAAAAGAAAATAGACAAAATGACCATTATACATAAATAACAACAGACTACTAGCAGTTACTGACATGCCAGCTCCAGACCTCAATTAAACTGATTGAAAGATTATGTCTTCATCATATGAATATCAGGCACAATCCCTCCTGTTAGGGGTTTAGTATTATGCAATCATAAAATATATGAGAAGAACATAACCCGTGTCATGCCAACAACTGGTTTTAGAATAAATATGTTTAATTCCGATGCAAAGACCCTATAAGTGAATCAATATTAAAGCCAAAATATGCAATCTTTAATGACCTGACAACAGTATCATAACTATATCCCTTCTTAATAAATCTGTTTAAAGGTTTTGTTAGCTTTTCAGGTGAATACTGAGTAACTAGTTTTTTTTTTTAAATACGGATGCACATTCACTTGTCGCTACTCATAGACAAACTCCTTCTGTAATAAAAAAAGGAACATATGCTAGATTAACTTACTGTAAGTGTAATGTGATAGTTAAAGCAGTAAATTGTCTCCTTGATAGTATGTTTGTACGTTTCGTCATTTAAGTATATCGACACGAAATAGGTATTCCTGTGGACACCAACTGCGCCCCTTCCATAGCAGACTTGTCACTGTGTTGTTATTAAACAGTAATTTTTTTTAAATAATCAAGAATATACTGCTAAAATTTATCAACAGGAATCGACTTTTAATAAATCAAATCAAAAATAAACAAGCAATAACTGTCCTTTCCAAGCAAACAACTATCATCAAGAGACCAAATGAAGTGAATGGTGAAAACTGTAGGTTACTGACGGCTATGCATAGATAAAAGTGTTGATATGCTATTTATAGTGCCGGGAATTGTTTGTTAAACAACTGTTGCCGTTAAACTATTTTTTTTTCTCTTGTGTTAAAAAAATTATACTGAAATATATTTTTGAAATCTGTATTATATATATGTCTTTCAATTGCAAACATATTCTTTTAAATAATCACTTGTTTGATAAACCCTAAATTATCCAGGTAAGCAACTTAGGGACTCCTAACTATTTCAGAATCTCATTTGTCTGGGAAAATGCAAACGAGAGAAAGAAAACCCCCATTCTAAATAATCATAATTATATTCTATCTATTTATTTATACATCACTCCATATGTATAAATATTTAGACAATGTATTCATTTTATCTGTATATATCCAAAAGCTACCTGTATATTAAACATTTTCGATTTTAATGACAATTCATTTCGTTCTTTTATTATTTTTATTACTATTACATTCCAGTAGAATATTATTTTGCCACGCGCAACTCGTTAAAAGTTATTTGAAAGGAAGTGTGTATTTCATTCATAAAAAGTAGGATTTTTCAAAAAAGAGTTATTTCAGAAGTATGTAAATACTTGCTTCTGATATGCACCTGTTAATACAATTTACCTTTGTTAAGAGTATATAATAGACATATTTTATTTAAACATTAGAAAAGACATATTACCTAGGGAGTGTTGATTACAATGTAAAAAAGTATAACAAAAAAAACCAAGGCAAATTCAAAAAGGGAAAACTGACAAACTCAATCGCTTTCAATCAACAAAACAAGCGAAAAACAATTGCCACATTCCTGACTTGGTACGAGCATTTTCCAGAGACATGGTTGGTGAAACCTGGTTTTATAGCTAACTAAACCTTCCACTTGTATAACAGTTGTTTATAGTTTCGTTATATTGCAAAAATTAGTAAGCAACCCAAAAAGACATAGAAGGTTATTGTGAAAATAAATGGGATCCAGTAGCCAAAACTGTGTAAGAATACATCACAGACATACAATTCAACGAAATTCAAACAGACATAAAAAAATAATCTAACAAAGACGCTAGCAACAAAGGTGTAGTAGATAGTAATAAACTCATCATAGGTATCAGGATTAAAATTGTGGATGCCATAGATCGACTTCGTCTACAAAAGACTCATCAGTGACATTAATTTGACATTGACGTCAGCGACAAAAAAAACAATTGTCGTTGATAGTACAAACCGTGTATAGTATACACTTTCATGATAAAGTAAAATTTAAGTAAATATAAATACAAGGGTAAATAAAATAGAAACAGCACTGTGAAAACCCTTTGTGTCCGAATCACACATCAGTACCCACCTGCTTAAGAATGCGCAAAGGTAAAAAAATCAAAAACCCAAAGGCGGAAGGCATAAATGATTATATAATATAGATGTGGTCATAACACTAGCCTGACTTAGCAAATTATATTGGTATCTACGTACAGTCTCAATCATAATAGAGAAGGCTTTATTGTTCTTGTTTCGTTAAAAAGATTGGAATTTTTTTTAGCATACTCAAAACCAATTTTGTAAACCCTTTCTTTTGATATTTTGATATTTTCCTGGATTTCCAAATAACCAATTTTGTTAAAAATTACATATATACTCAACCCAAGATCACACAAACAGGTAAATAAGCTAGGATCCTTTTTAAAATAGTCTATAGAACTGAGGACAGGGGACTCTTGAAATATTTACTTTTATTATGTATATTAATGATCTTGTTGTTATTGTTTATTTTTATTTTGTTATGTTGTGTCACATAC